GAACCTCAGCCCCCGCCCGCCCCTCGGCCCCGCCCGTCGCGGCCCCACGCCCTTCCGGGAGCCGGAGCCAGCCCGAGCCAGCGTTGCCGCCTCCCGCCCCGCCCCGCCTCCTCAGCCGCCGCCAGAGCTGTTCAGGCAACGTGCGCTGCGCTCTCCACCATGGTCATCAAGGTCTACATCGCCTCCTCGTCCGGCTCCACGGCGGTAAGGCGACCTCAGCCGAGGGGGCTCGGGCTGGGGTCCCTCCCGCGGGGGGGACCGGAGCGGTCCCTCTGCCTCGGGCGGGCTCCGTCCTCCGACTGTTTCCTTGCCCCGCTAGAGCCGGGAGCCGCACCGCTCCCCCCGTGCGGGTGGGTGGAAGCCCCCTGATGCCGCCGAGGTGCTGGGCTGGTTCCCTGCGCGCCCTCAGCTGCCGGGCTGGAAAGCTGAGGAGGAGGGGGACCTGCAGGGGGTCTGTGTCTAGCAGGCGCCCACCTCCTCTGCGAGTCCGAGGTGCGAGTCTGGTCTCGGAGCCGAGGGAAACGCCGACTCCCCTCTCTGCTTTGTGGCACCCTCTCTCCCCCCATGCCTGCTGCCATTTCCCCCACTGCCCTGTGTCTCTGGACTTCTGCTCCCAAAGGCAGGGCGGTGCCAGCCCTGCCTCATGTACGTGGACCGCAGTAGCCAGTGAAGCTGGTGTCTCTTTTGGCTGTGAAAGTGATGTTCGTTCCCGCCACAAGGTCCCTTCCCCCTGGAAAGGGGAAATCTAGCTCTTCTTTCATTTATGGCAAAAGGGAGAGATGTTGGAGGGAATCAAAAAGGTCTGTAGTCCCCCCCTCCCCCGTATTTTAAGGAGGTCCCATTGTATCAGTTCAGCAGTACTTTCCCCTTTCTTTGTCTTCCTAAGGAGTCCAAATAGCTGCATCTTGCTCTGTCCCACAGCTGTTTCGCATTGTTGAAATTCCTCTAATGCTGTCCTGGTGGAGTCTAAGTCCTTTTTAAGTATTACAGCAAATGCAGGGTGAGGTGGAGATGAGGGGATCAGGGAGTTGGGTTTTGTTTTATTTTGGCCATGAAGCAGAATACCCTTGCCACTTTCCTCCTTCATTTCTAGCTTGTCCCCACGAGAAACTCCATTATTTGTAACTGGGGGATCTGCTGCAAGTTTTTACTTCTCCAACCAAGGCTTCCCTCCCTCCCACTGCCTGGGAGTAGGGAATGCCTGATTAACAATTGGAGAAAAATCTACAGATAAACCTCCTGGCCTGATCCTGTTCTAAATCTTCTCACTTGTGCTTGCAGGTGGTCCTGATTGCTGCTTCTGATTATCAGAAAGAAGCATTATTCCCTTTCTGATGTAGAGGCTTGCAATTTATCATGTCCATAGTTTTTTTTCAATGACTTCCTTTTCTGTCAGATGATTAATGATGACTTCAGAAATTCTCTCTGGCCGCTTGGGATAGTAGTTGCTGTATCTTTCTGTACCATTATGGAAATACTGTTGATTCTTAGAGATGAGTCTTGTTTCTCATCCAGGACTGCATAAACAAATTCAGTTTTTAAAAACAATTGAGTGAACATACTTTTTGGGCTAATGGCTAGGTAGTCAGTTATTAAAATTGATTTCGAGCTGGTAGTGAGCCTAATGGATTTTGCACAGACTTCCAGCACGCATAGGCCAGGTCTCCATTTGGAAGGCTCTGGCAAAATAGCTGTATCATGTCCTTTATCAGAGAAGGATGTGTTTAGGACATTATATGTAGACAGACATGGAGAAGTTGCAGTTAGTTGGTAAAACTGTGGTTTTGCTTGTATAATGTGTCCCAGCTCCCCACCACTGGCTTTTTAAAAAATGTCTAGACTCTTAGACTCTTAATATTACTTTTCTGCAAAAGCATCTTGTGCTTGTGAATTTAGGGTTGCTTATCATTTTGAGATGCACCTTTAATTGCCTTTGCATCTGTCTTTGCCTTTTTGCCTAGCATTTGAATAGCTGTATTAGCATAGTCAACTTTTATAGGTGAAATGTAATGTGTTCATCATACACGATAATTGCATCTGATTTCAGACACAAGCATGTGTATTCCTACCTACTATAGTAACACTGGCACTTCAATAAGGTCTAATCTTACAGCAATTAATATTACTTGTATATACATTCTCTGCTGACTGTAGGAAAGGTGTTTGCATTGGCATGAATCAGTTGAGTACCTCATCCCTTGGCCACTTTCTAGAGTAAGAATTTCAATAGGCATTTAACTCTGACATAAAGCAAATGGATAGCAGCCACGTGTAAAATGGTTCTGCAGGGACACTGTTCTTTATGGAATGTGTATTTAGTAACTGTGCCACATATGTAAGTGTAATAAAACATGATGTGAGATTTGTGATATAGTTATCACCTCTAAGCATCTTAAAGATGCCTTTTTATGCCTGCCTGTCGACTTGTTAGTTTAAGATAGAATGCACTTTAAACACGTGACTTGCACTCTGTGGGTTGGTACATATGTTATCCATGGCCTGGTGGGTGGTGGTGCATTTACTGATGAACAGTGCTGTTATAAACTTCACTTATCTAGTCTCAATGACTAAGCCAGGGGTGGCCAACCTGTAGCACATGTGCCGGAGTGTTACTGGAAGTCTGTATGGTTCAGAGGAAGGGGACTGAAGTGGCACTCAGGGAAGATACAGGGCTTAATTTGTAGCATGCCTGATAGAAAGGTTGGCCCTCACTGAGTTGGGCATTGATAACTATTGATATCTTGCATTGCTGGTGGACCACCTTTGTGTGGCTGTTTTAACATTGGCTCACTAGGCGTTGACTTAAACCTTGTATATCAGTAGTTTTCAACCTTTTTCATTTGTGGACCCCTACAACATTTTGAATGGAGGTGCAAACCCTTTTGAATGGCAAGTGTGGGCATTCATGTACTTCTGATTAATCATAGTCATCTTCTGTGGACTCCCAAGAGTCCATGGACCACAGGTTGGAAACAGCTGTTCTACATAGCGTAGATGACTTTGCTAGTACTGATTTATTGCTGGGGTTCTCCCAAGCAAATCTGATGAGACCCTATCATTACTGTAGGGTCTGATATTAAGTCAGACTAACATCATTCCAAGTCTTGGAGTCTGGCCACGCATTATGGTTTCCTGAGTGTAATCCAAATCTAAGAGATGTAAAGTACAAATTTCCTTTTGAATGTGGAAGACTTGTACCAAAAGGAGGTGACTTCTCTACCTCTCTCAAGGTTTCTTCCCCCCTCTCCCCAAAGAAAATTAAGCACTTGTAATGCATGAACAGGGCTGGACAGTTGACCAGAGAAAAGAATGGTAAATGATGATGGCTATGAAGATGAACTGTAGATCTACAATTCTCCAATATTCTACAGATAGAATTCTCCAACATGCTCTATCCCATGTAGAGGTTAGCTCATATTTAAGGGTTTCTTTAAACTGTTATACAGTGTTATAGCACATCAGACTATTGTTCTTTGGTGATGAAAGGGGCAATGAGAAGTGAAGACTGGAGCAACAATGGGTTGGTAAGGTTATTTATTTAGGATAATGAGGATTGGAAAGAAGGCAATAGGTGTATTTGATGGTGGTCATTAGTGATTAACAGACAGCCCTTTCTAATGTATTCTTTTTCACATCTTAAGGCTGTGATAGAGGCTAATGGGATGGTACCAGACTACTCCAGAAGGTAGTGAGAAGAGGGGTGGACAGTAGTGTCCTGCTAAGTAACTTTAATTTTTGTTTTCTACTTCTATAAGAAAAAAATGAAAAACATGCATTTCTCACGAATTTGAAAGAAGTTAATTTAAATGTTAACTTTGTTTTAAAAACTTGAATAAAGGGTGTATTTTTGTCTTGTATTGTTTCATTTGAGGTTTTTGGTTTGGGTGGCTTTGTATGTTCTGGCACTACAGCAGTACAGAGTAGCATAGGAGAAGATGCCATAATGCTGAAAGCAGATGGTACTTCGCTTTGCAGGTACAGTGGTGTGAACATTTGCTTGTAGATTTGTGTGATTTTTATGGGTTGCTGTGTTGACAGTAGAGGTAGAAGTACCGATTTTTAAAAAACAGTATCTGTTTAACCTGTTGTAATTACAATGATTAAGCAAATAATCAGTATGGCAACCCTGGCTTGGTCCATGTGGGGCTACTCAGGCATGGCCTGCGGGGTGTACCAGCAGGGTGTTTCCAGTCCCCTGAGATGCAGTGAGTACTCAGCAGCTTTCTGGGGCCCCAGGGCTGCACCTCACAGTGAGCCTGGTGGGCAGGTCCCCTCCGAGCCCAGGTGTAAATGTTGCATGTGGGTGGGATGTGTTGTGTGGCTGAGCCACAGGTGGGGTGGGGGGGGGAGCTGCCCTGTGCTCCCTTATCTCCATCTTGTCCCTGCATGGGCCTTACAGCTGAGCTGCTTTCTCTGTGGACAGCAGGGGAGTGGGAAGGGGGACCAGCTCCTAATAGCTAGCCACAGATGCCAGTGAAGCCGTTTGCAGCCTCCACATTAGCTAGGCTGCTTGCAGCAGACATCGGTACTAGTCCCCCCTTTCCCTTCCCCCTCCTCCTCACTCCCTCCTGCCTGCCATGCTTCCTTCAGGTTCCTACTAGGACACTGCATGGCTTCCCTTCCTCACCTTCCCTGCCAGACTGTGCCCTGTGCCATGCTATCTAATTGGTAATCTATAATTGGTAAAACGATTAATCATTTAACTGTTCACATCCCTAGCTGCAAGCTATTCACAATGCACTTGTGTTGATAAGCATTAGGAGTCAACGGCTTGTCATTCCAAAGGTCTTAAATAGCTGAAGCATCTTTGTTGGAAATGCTTATATTCTTTTCTGGGTGTTTAGTACAAACAAGGATAGCTAATTGATGTGAAGAAGAAAATACTGATGTATGTTTAGTTCTGATCATACTCTGACTAATCTGGCACAAGTTTTGTGTGGGAGGAAAACATCTGCATTTATAGTTTAAACACGTTTACTGAAAATAGATGCATTTAATATTCATCTTGTTGAACACTGACTTAATGGCCATGTTAGTGAATTTAGACACATGCTTTATGTAAATATTATTTGCATGAGCTATTCCTTTTTATCTTTTATGTCTACTAAACTAAATATCGCTCTTGAAGGAATGCTGTTAATTGCTCTGGGGTTTTCGCATAGCAGAAACCAGAATATGTGGCATGAACATACCTGAACAATAAC